ACCTCGACTCAGCAGTCCCTGGTCCAAGGTTAAGCACTGTAGCACCATTCATTTACAGACTGGAAACAGTGAAAATACTACTGATGAGCAACTGGTAAAGTAAGTTCAATTGTGTGTATCAAACTAAGTGAATACCCTGTACCCACAGTTGAGATGATGGGATTGAATGGATTTGGGTCACAAGTTCCAGGATATCTGACAGTTGTGCTTTTGTGACAGACAGTCTTTGGAGAAAAGGGCAAACTTGAATAATGTGAGGTACTTTTCTCCTACTAATGGTTAATATTTTGTTTTATGGGAGGTACAAAATTATTTTTCCCAGCATTTTATTATGAAAATTTTCAAACTACAGGAACCTTGAAAGAAAAGTACTTTGAATATCATACACATTATCAGCTATAGCAGTGGCCAGCCTTTGCATGCATGCTGCGGCAGGCTATTATTGAAAGCTCTAAAAGATTTGTCTGTCCACCTCATTATTTTTAATGCATTTCAAAGTAAATTGCAGAATCTTCATATTTTACCCCTAACATGTCAGCATGCTTAATCATCGACTGGAGTTCAGTATTTGTGTTTATTTTTTTCTAAGAGTAGATACTTTTCTACTCCATCAAGGGTTTGGGTCTCGGGGTGGCTTTTCCTTTGCTTAAAAGTGCCTGATGAGAGTGAAGTAGACAGTATGACAGAACTAAACCAGGTCAGGGTCAGGAGTCATGCAAACCCACCTGGTTTGCACCTCAGAGACCTGGCAGCAGTGGTAGCACCTTAGAAAAATCCTTCATCCCTCCATACCAGCTGAACGTTTTTTATAATATTTTTTCATCTGTAAGAAGGGGTAGGATTGTTGTATGAAAGAAGATAGAAAGTAAGAGCACAGAGAAGGAATTCAGCAAATCACAGATTGGTCAACAGCTACCTTCCACCTTGTGGGGCCCATAGAAGTGACTGAACCTCTACAATCATCTTTCTCATCAGAGCGCTCTGCCATCTGGTCCTGAAGCAGTACAAGGAGGCAGTGAAGGACTGTACAGCAGCCCTCGAGCTGGATGGAAAAAATGTGAAGGCATTTTATAGACGTGCTCAAGCCTATAAGGCACTCAAGGTAAAGGGTCTTGCCCAGAGGGGCCAACAGAGCTAGAGATTTATGTCAGGGCTGGCCTTTATAGTCATGGGTTGAGGCAGTACCTACTGAGGGTCTTCCCCTCCAGGACCTCAGGACAGTGGGCTTGAAATCACTGCTGCCTCAACAGCTGTCCCCACCCCAACTAGATCTCCCTTCATCCATACCCCTTCCCCACACTCTTTTCTTCTCTCCCATTAGGACTATAAATCCAGCCTTGCAGACATCAGCAGCCTCCTACAGATAGAGCCCAGGAATGGCCCTGCACATAAATTGCAACAGGAAGTTAACCAGAACCTGAAGTGAAAATCCAGAAAGGCTGCAAGAACTCTACCTGACCTTCCCAGAGAAGCCAGGGCCTCCCCTCTGTGTCCACCCCTGGAACCAAGCATGCCCCAGCGGGACCGCTGAAGCATCCCTTTCCCCAGCCCCTAAGAGGCAGCAGCCTTTTACCCTTTGTGAGGCTTTTCTTCAAATTAAGCCCATTGTACTCAAGCACAGTGTTTTACCACAGAGCTTCCCACTCCAGCTAAAGTGTGAGGCTGGAGTATTGTTCCCAGTTCTACTCCAGACAGCTAGAGAGGGTCACACACAGGTCCTTATTAGCAACACACTTTGCTTTGTTCCTGCCCCAAGTGTGTACAGACTAGACTGTGTGCTGCCCTCAGCAGACCCCACTTCTTTGCAATTAATCTGAACACACTAAACACAGAGGTTGGTGACACACTGAAAGTCCTGCCCACCTACACACAGTAGCCTGTTGAGCTGGATCTCCAGGGCTGCCATCTCCCCACGGGTGCAGCTGCTGTCCCCATCCTGACCTTGGCACAGTCTCCTGTGTCTGAGCCCCAGTGCCTTTAGTCTTGGCCCTCCTTTGGTGGGAAGGCAGAGCCCCACCCTTGGAGGCTGTCTTTGACTCTGCTGCTGTCGACTGTATGGAGACACCCAAAGCATTTCAAGAGCCCTGTGGTTATGGCTGCTCCTCGTGGGATGGGGTGAGTCCTTGAGGTCAGTGTCCTTCTACTCTGGGCAGGAATCTGCCTTTTTCTCCCAGCAGCGGCCCCTCCAAGCTTCTTAGTTCTTTGTAATATGTTCATCTGAAGTGACGTGATTTTGTTGAACTGGGTATTTAAACTGTTGCATTAAACTTTCTTTTACCCAAATCTGTTGTATTTATATTTGCACCTTTTCAGCATTGTGCCTGGAACTTTGTAACACTAATAAAAGTTATTGCTTCTTGGGCTTTCATCTATTCAATGAGCAAATTTACTGAAATATATGTATAGGCCAAGCTTTGTGTATGGTACTATGTAGACAACAGTGAATAAATAGTACTGTACCTGTTCTCAGAGGGCTGATGGTGGGATGGCAGGGAGTTAATCAGATAATCACCCAAGTGTAAAGCCACAACTAGCTGAAGAACTGTGAAGCAGACATCCAACAGTATCTTAACCTGCCTGCGTGGGGCGTGAAGTACTGTGGAGGGTAAAGGGTTCCTGGGGAGGTAGAGCTATACTGAGTTTTTTGGTTTCTTTTTTTGAGACAGGATCTCACTATGTAGGCTGTCCTTGGACTCATTATGTAACCCAGGCTGGCCTCAAACTCACAGCAAACCTGCCTTAGCTTCCCAGGTGCTAGGATTACAGATGTGCACCACTATGTGTAGCTCATGCTGAGTTCTAAGGTGAGAAATTAGAGCCAGGTACAGTGGTGCACGTCTGTGATCCTGGCTACTAAGGAGGCTGAAGCAAAAGGATAGTGAGCTCAAGGTCAATTTGGGCAACTTAGACCCTAACTCAAAATTTAAAAATTTAAACTTTGAACTGGGGAGCAGTTCAGTGACTTGCCAAGCGTGCACAGAGACCTGGGTACAATCCTTAGAATGCAAAAGTGAAGTGAGTTAACTGGTGAAGAGGGGAGCGCATATGTACAGACTACTAGGAAAGACATGGTGAGGGAAGAGAGGGGCCAGAAAGTGCCATTCAAGTTCACAAACGACGTGAGGCTGAGAACTTTAGGGTCTAGCCAGAAGGTGCTCTCCCTTCTTGAACTGGGTACTGAATTGTTTTCACCTTAAGTAGAAGTTTCATGACTGCACAGCAAAGCAGTTTGTACTGTACCTCTGCTCCCATCAGTACATATAAGCTCCCCCATCTCAAACCTACCCACTCTACCCCACTCCAGAACAATTCAGAAAACACAGAATCGTGGTACACCTCATTATCCTCACTGTCCATCGTCTCCTGGGAAATGGGGATATACTCTTAGCAGTGATGGCAAGAGATGAGTACCCAAACTGCAGCCCAGAACCCACTTAATTATTGCAAAGAGCCAACACTGCAATTAAGCCTGAATACTGAGGTTTTAGTTTAGAAAAAGCAACTCCTACATTAACATCATTTGTCTTAAAGACAAACATGCCATTAGGTTCACCATCATTGCACTATAGCATGAAAGCCCTGGTTTTAATCTTCAGTGCTGGAAGAAAAAAACCTGTCATAGGTTAACATTTCTAGGAAAGGTACAGGTAACTTAGTGTGATTTTCTTAATGGCCATAATTGAATTCTATCACCAGCCCCAAGAAGTCATTCCACAGGTATGGGAGTGACAGGGTCTCCTTTAGACTGAAGTCATATCACGTAGGGTTGCAGGCATGGAAATTTCATCCTTACTCTAACAATAACTGAAGCTACTGAAGGACTTGCACCAGGATGAGACATCAGGCTTGCATTCTGTGCAAAGCCATCTCCGCATGACAGGACAGATGGGAAGAGAGCCTGCACAGATGCAGTGAAAGCCTGTTGCCAAAGTCCAACTGATCTTGGACTAAAATGAGGATAGTGGATTTGGAGAGAAGTAGAAAGGTTTGAGAGGAAGTGGTAAAATTGATACATTTCATATGGAAGACAAGATGCAAAGTAAGCAGTAGCAGAGGGGCTGGGAAAACCTTTAGATTTTAGCTTATGCAACAGAATGAGTAAGATTTGTAAGAACAGTTGAAGCAGAATAGCAGCACAACCTTAAGGAGTCAGTCCAATTTGTTGCTAGAGAACGTGGAGCAGTACCATTGAGCTGGGCTGTGATTTTTGCCACTGCCCTTTGGCAGCTCAGGTATAGAGGGCAGAGAGCCTCAGGTCTACGCCCCCAATGGGAGGTGAGCTTAAATGTCCTGAAGACCCTTTGTGAGAGACTCCCCTGTTCCCAACAGGAAGGAAACCTGACCCTGAAAAGCATCCTAACACATGCCTAGGAGGGATCTTAACCATGCTAGATAAATCTCCAGTCACCCTACCTCTAGGGTGTTTGCTTGCCCTGCAGGGTACTCAAGGCAGTTTTCAGACACATTAAATGTGGACTGTCGCTTTGGTCTTATTTTTTCAGTCCATTGCATGATACCATTGATCATTCCACCACACTGTCTATGGGCCAGTTGTTTCTAGTTCAGGACCACTACAGTCCAGCTCAGTTCCTGACTCTTCTGTTTTAGTGCACACACTCTGTGTACTAAAGCACTTTGGGTTCTGTTCCTTACAGCCAAAGCCCCAGCCCTGTCAAGTCTACCCTCTACTCTGCCCCAATTCCCTCAAACAGAAGACAGCCTCCTGGAGACAAGATGGATTTTGCAATACTTTTAATGCACAAAACAAAAGAGGCCAGCCAGGTGACCAGCTTTAATTCCACATCCAGAGCTCAAGTACAGATGCAGAACTGGGAAATAAGTTACAGTTCACAGGACCTTTGAGCTGAGAGCAGGAAATGCTGTTCTACTGGCAGCCATGGGAGTGAGGATTCCAATTTCTGACAATGAAAGGGTGAGAAACGCTTCTAAAGATTGGCAGGAACACAGTCTTTAAGAAAGGTGAAGTGGGCGATGGCAGGCCCGGCCTTCAGATAGGTAGCATGGAGCCAGGCAGTGCTCAGGAAAAGCCCAGCCTATTTTTTTGTGTGCAGCCTGGAAGGGTGGTTGGCACAAGTGCCTCCTTTATTCTGCACCATTCCCATCACACCGTGCATCATCTCTGTGACCTTCTGTTTCCTCAGACTCCTTGGCACTTCAGATAAAGCCAGCCAGCAATACAAGACAATTCTCGGAGTTTCTAAAAGTCAGCCTGTGCCCATTTTTCTCTGACTTCTGGGCTCAGCTGCTCTGTAACTGCTCCTCCCACCCTCACCCAGCCATTTTCAGTGTATGTATGCCTTCGGCTTCTCCATGGCCTGGTGTGCCTGAAGCACTGCCACCGCCTCTTCGACCTGTGGGACATAAATTGGAGGAGTTTAGTATAGCTAAGCCAGCAGGCTCCCAGAACCACCATGACCTCCCACTGACAAAGATTCTCTGCCCTTTACGGAGATTCCTACAGCATTTGTGTGCTGCCCTCATCTATCTACAGCTGCTTAACAATGCCATGTCCCACTGTCACTTCCTCGAGTTACAGGTATACTGCTGGACACCAGAAGAATCTCAACCTTTATCCCGAGTCAGAACACCAACACCTTGTCTGTGGAGTGACCCAGAAAGGGGCTGAAGTAGCAAGGCCTCTCCCACTCCAAGATTGAGCAGGCCTTCAGGTATAACTCAGCAAGATCAACATTATCCGTTCAAGCTCGTCTACAATGGCCCTTGTTCTTAGGTCTCCCACTGCCCAGGCCCCACCTACCTTAGCTTGGAGGGACTCTGGAGACTCCAGCATGAGCAGCAGATCTGAATTGTCGATCTCCAGCAGCATGCCTGTGATCTTGCCAGCCAGCGCAGCATAAACCTCAGGGATAAGACGATAGAGACGCTCCCCTGTGTGGAACAACCCCTGATTGCTATGCACACACCTGGCTCACACACCAGCAACCCAGGAGTGGTACCATGGAGAGCAGTGAGGACACCTGGGTTCTTGTCCCAGAACTGCTTCTTCCAGGCCATGTTGCTAAACCTTACTGGGACCTCTTCTCCCAGTTATAAAGTGGGCCAAGTAAACCCCACCTTCAAGGGCAGTTTGAAGAAATCTGGTAATACATGTGAGGTAATTATAGCACTGGGTCTGGCACAAAGTGAGTTGTTTAAAGACTACTCTTGTGTATTCTTGTGTGCAAGCACAGTGGTGCATACACGTAATCCCAGGTACTTGGGAGCTGAGACAGGAGGATTGTAACTTTGAGGCCAGCCTGAGCAACATGAGATCTCATCTTGAACAAAAGACAAGTAGAGTGAGCACAGAAGTTTTTTTGGAAAAAAAAGACTATTCGTGTTCATTTTGCAATAAATAATTCTAGATAGGATATGGTAATAACGAACTTGAAACTTTTCAGGGAGGAGTAATGAGAAATATGTAAAATAAATTCACGTTCCACCATAGGGTATTTCTAGCAACAAGGCCTCTTATTGGTGCCAACCCACCATGGCAGTGTATGGAGGGTTCAGCCAGGATCGAGCCCTTAAATCCAAAGTATAAGGAGTCTTCCCATGAGGAGAGTGATAGTGTTTACAAAGAACTGCTAAGAAACTTTTCTTTGGTGGTGGGGTGGGATGTGAAGTGGTAAAACCCTAATAAATAAGCTGAGGAAACGATGGTGTGGGGGCAGCAGGGGCCTTCACTGAAGGGCTTGGAGATTTTGGCCGTGCAGTAAAGAACCCAGCAAAGAGGAATGAGCCTGCTCATTCATTCACAGTTAGCAGCATCTTTTAGTAAGACCTGTCTTGGACGCAGGATGGAGATGAACTGCAGAAGGAATTCAGAGTCCAGTAGGAACCGCCTGTACTTACCTAACGCACGGATGTTTCACACTACCCTGAAGTGGGCACCAGAAGAAATTTGGCAACGCTTCCTCCAGTTAGAAGAGGTGTGAAGACCTGTAACCCCCAACTCCAACCATACCCTGACTCTGCTGCCTGGCCCTGACAGCCCCACACCAGGTGTCTCTTACCTAGGTCAGAATCACAGAATGGCAGAGCTGGAAAGAGCCTTAGGATAATTCGTCTGACCAGTGTTTTCAAACCAGAGAACAGGAGCCTAGAGAGTCAGGGTGGCTTGGGTAAGGTCACCCAATAGCTTCATTAGTGACAAAAACCAGGCTTCATCTTCACATCGGACCTTACTTCGGGTATTCCTGACAGGCTCCCCAGCTCCCAGCCCTGCTTTCCCCGGCCAGCAGAGGCATCACTTACCAATCATCTGCTTTTGCTCATGGAGTGGTGCTGCAGCCAGCATAGACGCAGTCAGGGGCTCTTGGCCAGGGATGTGCAGAGCAGGCTCTGGGACCTGCAAATGGTGGCAGGAACACATCCTTTAGCCACATGGATGGGGACGGTGTCCACTTACCCTGCTAGGTAAACACAGGCGCCAGGAAGGCTCGGGGGGGCGGGGGGTGGCATGCTGGGGACAAGGTCCCTACCAAGGGGACCTGAATAATTAGGAGGCAAAAGTTCACTTTAAGTAGGACATTCTACACGTGAGTGTTGCCAAACGAAAGCCAAGCATTACCAATCACTCTGTGTCAAACAGAGCACTTTGTCAGGTAGCTTTATGAAAACATCCCCAGCATACCTTTGACCCTTCCACAGCTTAATAACTTTAAAAGTGCTTTTGCTTGTTTAAAAATACTATTGTTCACTTTGCAAGAAATAATTCAAGCCGGACACACTGAAATTCTAGATAATGCTGAATTTGAAGCCATTTTTTAGACAAGGAGATACAGTCTTTCATTTAATGATACGATATTTTCAGTTCTGTTTTGAATACTATCACTTCTTAGCATATTCTTTTTTTTTTTTTTTTTTTTTAAGACAGGGTCTCGCTATACAATTCAGGTTGGCCTTGAACTCACTATGTAGCCCAGTCTGTCCTCAAATTCATAACAATCCTCCTGTCTTAGCCTCCTGAGTGCTGGGCTTACTCACAGGTATGTGCCACCACACCTAGCATGCATATTCTTAGAATACTTTTCCTTACTGCTCAACAGAAATACTAAAGAAGTCCAAGTTAATTTTGATAATAACCTCGGCAAAATAACTTACAATTAGTAAACAAAATATGACCTTGGCCTGCCTTCCTCTTCTGTTGGTAAGGGTGGTACTTCATGACTGTACACATTAGTGAAACTTTACAAGCTAAGAAAAGAAAACCAAAGCCCAAAAGCCAACACCTTAGCCAAGATTCTGAGCCAGAACTCTCAGAGCCCACACTTTGTGGCCATCCTTACCCCATGGGCCATATGTATAGTTGAGAGAGATGGCCCTTCTGTAGAGAATGCTGCCCGGCTGGCTCCCATGGTCTGGGTACCAATGTTGGCTGTAAAAAATAAACAGAGTTTGAATGGCTGCTGTCAAAATTACAAAACAAAACCAAAAAATAACAAGTGTAGGCTAGAACAGAAAGAAATTGGTACAGTTGAACATGTCTGTAGAAATGTAAGTGGTATAGCTACTATAGGGAAAAAAACCACGAGCCTTCCCACCAAAGGAAGGAGATTCTAACTCATGCTAGAGCAGGCATGGATCTTGAGGACATTCCAGTATGTGAAATAAGCCCATCACAAAAAGATGAATACTATGTCATTCATTTATAGTAAGTACCCAGTATAGTTAGATTCAGAGAAACAAAGTAGAATGGCAGCTGCCGGGGACTGGGTTTAATGGGTATAGAATTTCAGTTCTGCAAGACAAAAGTTTTCTAGATGGATGTGCTGATGGTTTGCATAACAATATGAATGTACTAACTGTCCCTGAACTTGTACACTTAAAAATTGTTAAGTGGTAACTTTTATATGTATTTTGCCACAGTTTAAAAAAAAAAATAGCAGAGGCCAGGCTTGGTGGCACATGCCTGTAATCCCAGCACTCAGAAGACTGAAGCAGGAGGATCACTGTGAGTTAGAAGCCAGCCCAAGCTACAAAGTGAGCTCAAGGCCAGCCTGAACAGGTCTCAAAATAGTAATAATTTTTAAAAAATAAGCAGGAATGTCAGAACCTGACAGCAACCTAACATCAGCAGTTTTATCTAACTCATTCATGTGTCATTCCCAATGCCAAGCACAGAGCAGCACAAAAATGTGAGAACATCTGCTGAATGAGGGAACAGATATGTTTGCCTTTGAGCCAAAATCTGCACGCTGTTCACACCTGCTGTAATACTTCCTAAGGTTCATGTTCTTGCATGTGTGATCTCAGAAATTCTCACAAAGAAATGACTACACCACTTTTATCCCTATTTTAAAGAATAGGTGATCAGAGATGAGTTGACAAAGGCCACAGAGTGAGTGAGTCTCCACAGCTGGAGGCCAAGCCAACTTCCACACTACACACATAGGCTCCAAAGTCAGGCTGGCTGGCCGAGAAGGCAAGTCACTCTGAAGGCCGGTCCTGACTCCCCTCCAATGGCAACCCAGCCCCAAGACCTTGCCCCACCCTCCTCTCACCCACATTCTTCCTGGCCCTGCCCACACTCACCCACTTTCTTGGTGTGGGGTGCCAGGTACGGCACCTGGGTAGAGGCCTGCCTGACACTGCTGACATGGGCCCGGGGGCGCCGGGGCAAGCCTGGTGGCCGGACCACTGAGGCAGTTGGAGGGCAGACAGCTTGTGACACAGAGAAAAATGGAGAGAGAAAGGTTGTGTGGGTGGCAATCAGAGTGGCACAATACCCTGAAGGTTCCAGGACTGGGAGGGGTAACTAGAAACTCATGGCACAGAGATGAGTGAATTCACCTAGAGGGGAATGGAAATCTGCAGTAACAAACCCAGTTCACATCTATGCAAATTCTCCCACGATGCAAAAGAACCATGACCACATGCTCAGTCCCAAGACAGTTTTAGGTGAGTGTGAACGTGGCTTTTAGAGAGAAAGGCCATTCATCACTAGTATAACCAGAGGAATTTTACTTTTTCAACTTTGCCAGACTTTCAGCTACAATTCAGAAAAGTCTCTGGAAATATACATAATGGCTACCCCACTTGGCTTACAGGCTTGGCCCTGAGACTGGTGCTTTATGCACATCTCCTTCAGGCCCACGATCAGAAGAGGAAACTGGCTCAGAGGAGCAAAGTGACCCACTCAGGAAATGGCTCGACCCCTGTGCTACACAGTGCCTCTCAGAGCCACTCTCGAGCTGGGCTGAGGGTAGAAGGGGCTGGGTCACTCACATGAAGGTCTTTGAGGCTGGGCTGTCCACCTGGGGGCAGGCTGGATGGGGGCCACAGAGCCAGAGCCACCATAGCATGCAGCCTGGGCAGGAGGCTGTGTGGGAGAAAAGGACCACAGAGTGAGGGGCTCTGCAACAGGGTAGGTAAGGAACTGCATTCCTCAGGGACACTACTGCAAGGCTCCACTGTCCCCTTCAGGGAACAGGCTAATGAAGGCCTACAAAGCTGGCCTGCTGGCTCTTTCCTCCCATCTGGTGCCCATTAGCCCATAACCATTCAGAGTGATGTCAGATTTCAATCCTTGCTTCTCATTAGGCCTAGTCCAGTGGCCTGGACTAAGAAGGTGACACATCCTGGGGCCAGGGATTTGGCTCATTGGCACTGCACCTGCCTTGCAAATGTGAGGTCCTGAGTTCAATCCCCAGTACCGCCAAAAAAAAAAAAAAAAGTTTGTAGTTACAAGAAGGTGACACATCCTATACTAGTGTGTGCCAGCTCAAGCAACTGCTGAAAGGGAAGGAAGACTGCAACCCAGCAGCCTTCAATGGCTTATACCTTCCCAAATCATGCTCCCAGAGCACTAACAGCTAAGGGAGACATTAATGGGCACCCTCCAAAAACGACCATCACAGTTGGGGAAATGCTGTACACTACATGCCTGTTGAGGAGAGTCATCATAGATACTGATGTATCAGCAGAGGGCACCTGATTTAGTAAAGAAATTTAAGATTCCTGTGTTCAATGCAAAATCTCCCAAACTTATCTGACCACATCATCTTTTTCTGCACATCATTCAGGAATTTCCCTCAGACTGAACAGTGCTGTTTGACAGCAGTACTACTCACCACTTTACAGAATGGGACACAGGTTGGAACAGGCTGCCTAGTGTTTTGGCACAATCTACTTTTGCCTGTGAAGCTCTCATCTCCCTGCTCTAGGCAGCTGTCTGGGGAGGTGGGTGGGAGCTATGGGCAGACTGTCACCTGGGACACAGCAGGCAAGAAGTAGCTGTTGGGCTGCTGGAAGGAGCCCATGACGGGGCGGCCCAAGGCCTGCACCGTGGAGAGGCGCTGCATGTACTGGTTGGTCAAGATGGCCTTCCGTTCCTCTTTACGTTGGGCCAGTGCCACGTACAGCGGCTTGGTACCCACAATACACCCGTTCATCTCTGTCACGGCCTTTGTCGCCTCTTCTGGAGAGGAAAAACACACAAAGCCAAATCCCTTGCTGTGGCCACCCTCTGTCATCACCTAAAAGCAAGACAAGACAAGGGTTGCTGGGGGCGGGGAAGGCAGCTCCAGAGCTATGCTCCCCTCCTTCCTCAGGACTGAAACCCACAGCTAGCAGACCTGTGGAAAAGCTGTGAATGGGACAAATTGTCCATTCCAGTTTCCTGAGGCCTGCTGTGTGCCAGACACTACACGCCTTCCCAGCTCACACACAGCCTCCTTATAAGGGAGGGAGACTGGCCCCTACCTTCTTGAGCAGGGAAGGGAGATTCAAGAGTCATTTATCCACCAGGCATGGTGCACACTGTTATCCTAGCACTTGAGGCTGAAGTAGGATTGCCACAAGTTTGAGGCCAACCTGGGCTACATAGTGAGTTCAAGTCCAGCATGAACCACATAGTCAGGCCTTGTCTCAAAAAGAAAGAGTGACTTGTACAAAGTCACCAGTCAAGGGCTCATACACAACCAGGACTCTGCACACCATTTGGTAACCTCCATTGCCTCTGCGAGACCTTGGGCCAAAGTCTTTTAGGAATCTGGGGAAGCTGTTCTCAGCCTTCTCATTAAAATAGCATTCTTGGGAATAACTTTAAATTCATAGAAAAGTTACAAGAAACAGTACATAGAGCTTCTGTATATCTTTTACCCAGCCTCCTCTGATGTTAACATGGTATAGCTGTCAAAACTACAACAGCTACATTGTGCAATGCTATTAACTACTACACCATTGGCTCCTATTAACCAGAGAGTACTTCCTAAACTCCAGAATTCATCCAGATAGCATTTTTTAAACTAAATTCTTTTTCTCTTCAAGGATCAGATCCACACTGCATTTCTAACCTTTCTTAGGGTCAAGACACTGACCTGATTCACACTTGAGAAAGACTAGAGCTGTTTTTTAACTTACACCCCTTAAGAAGCCATGTCCTAACTCAATGATTTGCAAACTGCCACTTGTCGGCATACCTGCAGGTCCACACATCCTTTTCAGGGGTATCACAGATAGAATTCAGGGCATCTGTGAATGGGAAAAACTGACGCCTTTATTTTCATACTACCATGTCCATTATGAATATGGACACACCAACAACAAAAACCCAGCAGTATTAGCCATGCCTACAACTGTCAAAGAAAAATCAAATATTTTCATTTCATTACTAATCTCAAAATAATCATTTATGCTAATTGCTATTTTGACAGATCTCAGTTTAATGTGTTAAAGTACTACTGTTGCTTTAGTATTTTGAGTTATATTTCAATACAATTTTTGAAATAATAGTATTATGTATATGAAATATTCTTAGAAGTGTTTCACAGTCTCACAAAAATATTGTTAAGAACTACTTTGTGTGTGTGTGTGTGTGTATGCGTTTGCATTTTTGTGGTACCAGGGATCAAACTCAGGACCTTGTACTAGCAAGGCAGGTGGTGGCACCATTGAGCTAAATCCCCAGCCCCAAGAGCTTCTATTAAGAACTGTTAGTATGTGCCAGGTATGGTGGTCATACCTGTAACCCCAGCACTCTTGGAGTCTAAGGCAGGAGAATTGCAAGATTAAGCCCGGCCTGGGAAATCTAGCAAGATTCTGTCCAAAATTTTATAAAAAAAGGACTGGAGATGCTCAGCAGGAGGCTCTGGTTCAATCCCCAGTATGGAAAAAAGTTATAAGAAAATTAGTAAAGATAACTGTTATACAGAACTTAATCTGAATTTGGTAGTGGTGTACAACAGTTAATTCATAATAGAAAATATACGAAATTATATAAAATTCCCATCTTATTACCTGGCTGGCCTACTAAAAAGATGATAGCCCAGGTGTGCCTCAACTCTGAGCCATCCAGACTTATATTGTCCTTTCATTCAAGGAAGCCTCAAGGTCAGTTAATCTCCTGAAATTATATGTAATATATGGCAAATAATCACAACAATCAATATTCCAGTGCTTCTGATATGCAGATGCTCCATATGCAGCCTGCTGAGCAGTGCTCACGGGCCTCTAGAGGTAATGTTTTTCCATTGTACAGGTGGGTGAACAGTGGGAAAGACAGTCATCGCCTCAGGTTCTAAGCTAGGAAATGTGCCACTGTGAGGTAGATCAACTCTTCAGATAGCAGCTTTCAACCACAATGCTATGCCACCTGCACGCACTTACTGGGAAAGAGGGCCTGTGGACTTTTTACCATGCTAAACCAAATTTACTGAGTCCCATAGCTTTCTGTTATATCTGTCAAAAGGCCCATAACCCAAAAGAGCATAAATTTTTGCACAAACACCTAGCTTCTTGCAGGAAGTTTAAGAATCAGCAGACAAGAGAACTTCCTGACCTTTCTTAAGGCCCCAACCATCGCATTACATGTGCCGGTCCCCAGGCCTGTCACCCACACTCATCTCTTTGAAAGATACCTCATTCCCACCTGTGGCTCCCTGCCTCCTTACAGCCAAGTCAAACACTGCCACCACTTACACTTCCTCCAGGAAGCCTCCCCTCCTGTCCCATTGAGACCCCAAAGCTCTACCTCCAGTTCCACCCCACCCCCATCTTATAATATATGAATTAGCAATGGTCTGACTTCCTCACTAGACTATGAGCTCCTCAAAGACAAGGACCAGATCCAATTTATTTGATTTACTCCTATATGCTTCCCACAGCGCCTTCTACAGAATGAATATTCACAGTCAACTGTTTGGGCTTTTTTTTAAGCTTCAACCCAGTCTTTTTATTTCTTTCCTTTTTTTTTTTTGGTACCAGGCATCAAACTTGGGACCTCACACTTAGCTAAATCCCTGCCCCAACCCAGTTGTTTCTGTGTGTGCATGCAAGGCAAGCATTCTACTACTGAGCTACATTCCCAACATTTTAATTTTGAGAAAGGGTCTCACGATGTTGCCCAGGCTGGCTTCAAACTCATGGTCTTCCTGCCTCAGCCTCCCAAGTCACTGGGATTACAGGAATGTGCCACAGCATCTGGTATATTACATCACCTTAAAATCATCTGGGGTGTTTTTAAAAAAAAAGTACCTGGGCCCTATCCATAGAGGTCTACTCTTGGACCCAGGCATCCATACTGAAGAAGTCCCTAAGTGATTCAATAAGAAGCTAGGGTTGGGATCACACAGTGAGCCTAGCATTTTCAATTTTACTAAAGAGGCTCAGAAGACTACCCAAGGTCTTGAACTACAGAGTAGAACAGCCAGGTGTTACATCACAGGTGCCTCACAGGGCTGAACACATAGTTGGTGCTCAATAAATGGTAACGAATAATGCAGCCCAGCTTTCATTTTTCAGAAAAGGAAATTGTCACTGGCCAAGGCCAGACAACAGAAGTCCACAGAAATACTGAGACATAAATGCCTACAATCTACCATACAATGGACCCAATAAATGCTTGTTAAATGAGCCAAGATTACAATGTGCCCCAAGTCCTGCTCTGTGACTGGACGATATGTCTTCTTTCTTCCCCTGCAAGCAGACAAGGCTCCAGATAGATTCTGAGCTCTCATGGGGTCACACAGAGCCCTAGAAGAGAAGCTCAGCACCCATTCCCTGGTAGCCAGGTGAGAGACTGGTGGGGACGAGAGTGAGAGAATGAAGGAGGGCTACCCCAGGAGGTGCTGTGGCCCTCACCTTCGCACTGGTAATCACTCCGTATGGAGAGAACACTGTCCTCAGTTTCTCGTCACTGATGGAGTCGTCCAGGTTCTTCACGTACAGGTTGACACCCTGCAGAAATGGAATACTGCTCCGTGGAACCTTCTCCACAAGCCCCAGACTGCCTTGGGGAGGGCAGGTGCCAACACGGCCAGGGGGAGCACCGAGCATGCTGCAGCCCAGCCTTGTGCTGCGCCCCAATCTCCTCATACTGGCAGCCAGAAGCTGAAGCCCCACAGCCCCCAAAGCCCCTGGCAGTTTTAATACACCTGCACAGCTCCAGCCTCTGCTCATTTCATAGATGGGAGCCACAAAAGGAGACCTAGGTCCCACAGCTGGCTGACGCTCAGAGCTCAGCTGAAACAGCTCTCCTTAAGGAACGGCAGGATGGAGCAAACGGCACAGAGGTCCTCTCAGGCCAGCTCCAGCCCTGATGAGGAATGTAGGCGAGCAGCCACTCACCACCTCACACATTACCCTTAGCTGGTACGAGGTACCACTCCAAGCTCTTTTACATATTTTAATGTGTAATTCTCACAACCACCCCTAACAGGGAAACTTTAATCCTCACCAAACTGAACAACATGTTAAGTTCATCATCTCAGATCCAATAGCCAGCAAGTGGCAAAGACACAACTAATGCAGGCAGCCTGGCCCCAGAGCTCAGGCTCCTTGCCATTAAATGGCAGCTGCCTCCTGGACCTGAATGTCCTCCCAAGTACAAAAGCAAGTACAGAATTTAGACTATAGAATTGGTCGATTTAATATCCTGCTCTAACTACATGAGGTAAGTCTACAAAACTAAAAACTGTTTCAAATGCACAATGGTGTTTTTGTGTACATACAAGGGTCTGTCAACCTCAGCATCAGTGACACTGTGTGTCACTCTTGTTGTAGGAGTTACCCTGTGCATAAGATTATTTGCCAGCATCCCTGACCTCTACTCAGTAGATGCCACATGCACCTTATCCCTCACAAGTGAAACATTGTGACAACTGAAAATTCCAGGCACTGTCAGACATCTGGGGTAGGGAGGCTGTCCCTCACTGAGAGCTACTGAGTGTGGTTATGTGTGTAAGGGTGTATGCACACATATAGTGTACACACACACACAAAACCCTCTCCATGAGGGACCTACAACTTCTATTTTGTGTTTGTTTGACTTGGTTTTTTCTTTTGAGAAGTCTCTGTGGAGTCCAGGCTAGCCCTGAACTTATTACACAGCCTCAACTGGCCTCAAATCCAAAATCCTATTGCTTCATCTTCCTGAATGCTGGGATTACAGGTGTGCAAGACATGACAAGCCTGCAGCTTTTATTAAAAGTTGTAGAGACTTTTATTTCATCTACAATATTAATTTTAATCAAATTTATTGTAACTTTAATGACCACAACATTGTGACATTTGGATGTAACATATGTGGCCTAATTATCTGCAACCTGGAATAAGATTTCCTCTAAGGGCATTTAGAAATATGTAAGGCACTTTGGTTTTCCATGACTGGAGGATGCAGTGGGCACTGAGTGGGCAGAGGCGAAGGATGCTAACCAGTCCTACACAAAGGATTATTCCAACTCTGTGGTCAGCAGTACTCTGAACAACCCTTATGTCCTGGTTGGGAAGTATCCAGTCACTCAGTCACTCCACTGTTCCAAGTCAGGCAGTGGACACCACCAATCCCAAGTTCATGATTCCTGCCTCTAGCCAAGTTTCCAGAAGCAGGATGGCTAGAGGAAGAAGTGACAGTGCAGAGGCTCCCAAAGAGACATTTTCATATAAAACTGGCCACCACCAGGAGTCCTGCCCTTACCTGGTAGCGGGTCTGCCGGTCCTGCTTCATCTGCTCAAACCTGCGCTTCAGTTCATTCTGCCGCTCTGCTCGTTTCTGGGCCCGGCCCACGTACAGCTGCTGCCCACTCACTTCCTTTCCGTTCATGTGGTCCACAGCCTGGAGCAGAAGGAAATGTGCTTGGTGACCACCCAGACAAGACCCCGGCTTCGCCCTGGCCTCCAGTCCTGCCTTCTAGTCCTGCAAACTAGCCTGGCCTTGCTAGCTGAGGATAAATATCACCAAGACAATGGCTATTTACAGTGCATCCATATCTTAAAAACAGAACAGAATTTCAGGGTGAACTAGATTGGGGAATAGGGGCTAGAAATTGAATCTAGGGCCTTCACATTGAATTGTATCTCCAGCCCTTTTTATTTTTTTTTATTGAGACAGTGTCTCAGTGAGTTGCCTCGGCAGGACTCAAACTTTTCAATCCTCCTGCCTCAGCCTTCAGAGAACTGGAATCAAACTCAAGATCCTCAGTGTTCTAAGCAGCTGTGATTATAGGCATTCACTATCATGCCTGGGTGAACTACAAAATTTTCAAATTTGGTTAGAACTCTATTTTTTTTTTGGTATCAGAGATCAAACTCGGGTCCTTGCGCTTGCAAAGAAGGCGCCGGAACCACTGAGCTAAATCCCCGGCCCATTAGAACTCTATTTTAAAAACACAAAGTTGTAATTTGCAGTTGCCCATGCTTATAATTTTAAATATTTTAAAACATATTTTAATATTCCTACATTTAAAATACATATTTATTACTCAGTAAAGGAGGCCAATCTGTAAAGCTGTGTATTACTTGATTCCATCTATGTGACATCCTAGAAAAGGCAGAACTATGAGGCCAGTAAAAATATCCAGCTGTGGGCAGGAGTTAGAGGATGGGGAAGGATGAATAGGTGGAGCACAGATTTTCAGGGCACTGAAAACATTTCATACTCGACAGGACACGGAAACGGTACAAACAGGTCCTCATACGATAATGAGCCTTCGTTTAAACAGTAGACTCTGGGTGATAAGGACGTGTCCAAGCAGGCTTATCAGCTGTAAGCAGCATACTCTCTGCTGGGGAAGGTTTGATAAATGGAAAAGCTATGCATGTGTGGCAGTGGGAGGTTTGTGGAATATCTGTGTCTTTCACTCAATTTTACTGTGGACCCAAAACTGCTCTAAAAAAATAGTCTGCTACAAAATAACTTCAATTTAGGTTCTCACTGCAACTGTTCTTGGATAACTTGAACAAAGCAGCAAGCATAATTCTTTCAAAATGACCTGACAGTATCAACGTCCTTCACTTCACGTTGTATTTCACAGCACAGAAGAATCCTTTTTGTTGACTACAAGGGCTTTCTTTTATTGAAAGACTTGTGTCTTAAACTTCATTGATTTTTTTTTTCTTCAATTAACTGGCCTAACCCTGCTAGATCCAGTTTGACTGCGCAAAATTCTGCATCTTCCGCAGATGTGCAACTTCTCTCTGTAATACACCAAGTTAGATTTTCATTAGCTTAGCCACACACACAAAAAAGTCAGGCCCATGGGCTGGAAGGGTCCTGCCCATGTGTGGGACTCTCCCACCCCTCTTTATCTAGGAAGAGGGGGGCCTCTTTCTGCTCCCTGAGCAGCTGGAGCCCCAGGCCCCCTTCTCCCTAGGCCTGGCTCACCGCTTCTTCCCTGGAATAACTGTGGGGAGGCACCTACCTTCTGGGCTTCCTCATGCTTCTCAAAGTTAACAAAGCCAAAGCCCCGGGAGTGGCCACTGTTGTCCCTCATCACCTTCACACTCAGCATCTTTCCTGGAAAGGACCAATCTGGCTCAGCAGAGTCGGAGGAGCCCCAGAAAGTTCCCTCCCTTACCACAAATTCTCAGGAAGCCTGAGGAGGGCCCTCCTCCCTGCCAGACCTGGGCATAGAGGAGGGACAACAAGGATTCCCCCTCCTCCCCTAGGGAATTTGCTCACCAAACTCAAAGAAGAGGTCCTGCAGGCCCTGCTCATCCATGTCCACGTGGAGGTTCTTGACATAGATGTTGGTGAATGCCAGGGCCTGAGCCCCTAGCTCTGCTTCCCGTTCCCGGTGAGACTTGAAGTGGCCAACAAACCTGTGGACACAACAATGGGGTAGGCAGCTGCCATCCCTCAGCGAGTCTTCATCCCAACCCCCGCCACAAGGAAACCCTGGGCAACTCAAGGGACCAATTACTGTCAGGAATCTGACAGGGCTATACTCGAAAGACCGAGTATGTCCAAGACCCAGCTACCTCAAACAGCTAAGAAACTATGTTTCAGAGCCTGTCCCTCACAGGAGGCTCAGAATGCTCCATTCTTGTGACAGATGCACACAGAACTACTACAACATACCAGGCAGCTAGGAGCACAGAAGATATGAGCATAAACTTGGCATTCAAACAAAAACTTAAATCCTCACTCTGTAGTCACCTCGCTGTGTGACGATGGGCACATTACTTAATTTCTCTGACCTCGGTGTCATTCCTGCAAAACTGGGATTAAACTCATGTAGTGGGACTTTTCTTATTCACTTAACACATACTGGGTACAATGGAGAAGCAGGGGTAAGTGACTCACACATGGTCAATGCTAGTATCACTGTAGGGGGATGGACTAAAATCATAAATACAACAATAATTTTAAAAACATGTAAGAAAGGATTTTTTTAGAGGTGGGGTCTCATTATGTTGTCTAGGCTAACCTCGAACTCCTGGGCTCAAGTGATCCTCCTGCCTCAGCCTCCCAAGTAGCTGGGACTAAGGTAGCACCATCATGGCCTGGCAGGAAAGCAGCTTGATTAAAGGGGTGCAGGAACTGAGCATAGAAAATTCTAGTTGTAGCAGGCACTAAAAATTGATAAAAACCAAATGACAGAAGTAAGCCTCAATGGGTGGTTTCTAACAAAGATGGCATCTGAGAACTGGGAAAAACCCACTCAGATTCAGTGCAACAGACTGACAGGACCCACCCCCTGGAAACCTGACAAAATAACTCAGTGCATCTTACAGCGCAAAGCCACCTCCACTCCATAGCACTGATCACGAGGCTATGCCATCAGATGGGGACCAGCAGGACTGGGAAGAGGACCAGCCAGAGGCAGATTCTCCCCAGCAACTGCACCTCAATTTCCCCATCTGTGAAGAGGGGAGACACTGAACTTAGCAGGCTGAGCATAGGCTTTTTTTTTTTTTTTTTTTTTTTTTTGGTACTGGAGATCAAACACAGCTCCTTGCACTTGCTAAGCAGGCAGAAGAACCACTGAGCTAAATCCTCGGCCCTGCCTAATTTTCTTTCTGTCCCCAAATCCCACAAAACAATTCATGAGGTTTCAGAAAGAAAATTCACTAAGACTTGAAAACAGATGAAATCGCTGAGTCCACTCATGCTTTGGCCATTAGTGAGAATTTCAAAATCATCAATTTTACTCAGAACAATCTTCTAACATGTATCATCAGTTCCAAGAGTCCCTGAAAGGCTGAGCAACTCATTTTGAGGTCACATTTCAAGAAAAAGATTGCTGCCCAGTATCCAGTGCCCATCGGACTGCAGCAAGAACGCTGTTCTTAATTGGCGATGCCACTCCGGGTTCAGCCCCTCCCACAGGCCCAGCCACTCACACTTTGCGGTCATTCAGCAGCATCCCATTCATGGTGCTGATGGCCTGCTGTGCGGCCTCATTGGTCTCAAAATGCACAAAGCCGAAGCCTCGAGAGCCGTGCTCATCACACGCCACCTAAGACGTGGGAAGAACAGAGAGAACATCCGGCAGGGGATTCAGGGAGAAGACGATGGCAAAGGTGATACTGACCAGTACCTGAGTGCTTGCTGTGTTACATGTAAAAGACAGTCCTGCTGAGGGCCAGCAGTGTAGCTTAGAAGTAGAGCATGTGCAAAGCCCTGGGTTCCTCTGCAGCACAGAGAGGGGGAGGGAGGGGGAGAGGGAGGGAGGAGGAGAGGGGAAGAGAGGGAGAGGGAGAGGGAGAGGGAGAGAGGGAGAGAGGAGAGGAAAAAGAAAAAGACAGTTCTACACCACACAATAGCCCATTCTACAGATGGGGAACTGAAGCTCAAAGATGAAAAAGAAAGAAAGAAAGAAAGAAAGAAAGAAAGAAAGAAAGAAAGAAAGAAAGACAGACTTTCAGAATGGACCCAGATTTTGTCTGCACCACACAGCAGTTTTGAGTAAGACAATGGACCAAGCATTACTTCAAGCCTCCATACCTGAATCCTGTTTCTAACAAAAACTGGAAATACACAGTATTCACGCATCGAGAGAAGGTTGGTTAAAGAAATCACAGTTCATTCACACCAGGTTACCCCAGTCACCATATGTGCACCACTGGAGAGAATGGACAGATTACACAGCTGATAACTAAGTTATTACAGATAACTTTATCTGTAAGATATAATATCTTTTTTTTTTTTTTTTTTATTCTTTTTTTTTTTTTTTTGTACTGGGGATTGAACTCGGGTCCTTGCACTGGCGAGGCAGGGGGTAGAACCACTAAGCTAAATCCCCAGCCCTGTAAGATATAATATCAAGCAGAAAAAAAATCTAGCATTTGGGCTACAGTTATCAATATATGGGAAGTCTTGAAACAGATACGCAAAACTGTTCATTATTCTGGGGATGAAGGCTTAAAAAGATGGATCTTTTTTGCTTTCTGCCATTCCACATTGTTTAAATTTTACCAATTCATATACTGTTTCCATAACAAGCTTGTTTCAGTATTCTTTAACACAGCATCCTACTCCTATTCTGTAACCTTTCCAATTGAAGTTGGAAGGAAACGACTCAATAACAGGTAAAGACCTAGTTCACAGTTCTCATCTCCCTTGTTGAACTTGCACTAAGACCACTGACCCCGCTCCAAGGTGACCATTGCTCCACTGGTCACTGAAGCCACTACCCCCGCCCAGTGGCATTTTCTGCCACAAAACCACCCCAGCCTTCCAGCCCCACACTGAATGCAGAGATTCTCTTTAATCTCCAGAGGTTTCTACTATGCAAAGAAGTCTCTCAACTTGGCATGTGAGGCTCACTCTCTCTCTCTCTCTCTCTAAGCCTCTGCTCAGTACACACCCCTGTACCTCTCCGCCCCCAAACTGACTCCTTCCACTCTCAGTTCAAGCCCTAGCTCTTTCACCACCTAGACCCAACCATGTTGCCTGGGGTCCCACTGTATGTCAAGCACCTGGAAAGGGAATCATAAATTACCTTATTATATTTGCCAAGAGAATCCTTCCAGGCAATTCTTAACCTCTGATCCCCAGAGAGAAAATGAGAATAAATAACTTGCCCAATGTCATCCAGCCACAAGAAGCAATTTCTTAATTATTGTAGTTATCCCTTAGATATTTACCAGTGTTCCAAGTACCCTGTCACGGGCTATGTATAACTCAGTTCATCTTCACGACAGTGGAGAGGTATTGAAGATGTGCTTTTTAGATGAAACTGAGATATAGCCATGTTAAACAAGTAGCCCAAGATCACATAGCCAGGAAACAGAAGAGACAGAATTTGAATCCAGGACATCTGGCTTCAAAGCCCTGGGTCTGATCCACTACATTATGTTGCCTCCTTGCTAAGTGGCTAGGCTTTGTATTCAAGTGGCCTGACTCAGATTATGTACTATTCCCACAGTGCCACAGAAACCTTTCCTGACCAACCAAATGGCTTCCACCTTCCTAGTCACCCAACTACACAGTGACCATGCTTTTCCTTCAGAGTCTAATTTCCAGCCATTTCTAAAAGTTTCATCATTCTAGCCAGCCTGTAAGAATGTGCTGTATGTCTTGTTTCTAACAACAGTGCTTCATTCGGCCTGCAAAAGCTTGCCTGCATTGCACAGAGCTTTCTGTCAAAGTCTCAGTAGTCCATAAGACTCAAGGCCTAGGTGAGAGGGGAAGACATACTGTTCATTATTCAATTTGATTTAGCTAATCTGGCAAACCCACTAGTTCAAATCTTGGTTCGAACTCTACTCTGTACAACAAATAACAGTGGACAAATGAACACAACTCTTTGAACCTCTCTACCCTCCCGTGTGACTCATATACACCTTAATGGGGCTGCGGTGGAAAATTCAGTGTGGCCATGTATGCAGAAAACCTAGTACATAGAAAGCACTTGACAAATCTGCTACGGTCAGTGTAAGAACTTGGTCCATAGATCCTCAGAAGCAGGGAGGGAGTGTCTCTCTGTCTCTCTCTCTCTCTCTCTCTCTATCTCTATCTCTCTCTCCCTCTTTCTCTCTCCCCCACTCCCTCTATCTCCACTTGTCTCTTCATCCATCCATCTGTCTGTCTCTGCCAGTCTGCCCGTCTGCTTCTGTCTGCCTCTCTGTGTCTCTGCCTATGTCTTTGTCTGTGTCTCTGTCTCTGTGTCTCTCTGAGAATCCTGAGCATGTTTCGATGCCTCAAGCCTTAGTCTGCTCCTCTGAGCTAGAGATAGCCCCCAACTCATAGGGAAAGAGTGAGGCCTGTGAAAGTCTAACACAGAGGACACCAAGGACACCATAAATCCCCCATCTCCCCAGGAGGGGGCACTTCAGAGGCCACAGGGTAACTGGCCAGCCATCCTCCTAAAATGAAGAAATAGAACACTCAGGTTTTGGCCCTTGGTTAACACACAGTCATCTGCTACATGGCCTATGTGCCCCAGTATCCTCTATACAAAGTCAGAGAACTAATCACAGCCATTCTCAAATTTTAATAAGCCAATCACTCAGCAACTATGTGTGAGGATCTGTTTTTGTCACATATATTCTAGATACTAGGATACAATGGTAACTACCAACACGAACACTACTCTGACAGAATTACAGAGGAGACAGAACTGTAGCTCAGTGGTAGAGCATATACTTAGCTCATGCAAGGCTGCAAACTCAATTCCCAGCACCAAAACAAAAACAAGATGTAGTCTATTGATTGCTGAGATAGCCTCAATTAATGGACTTCCTGTAGTTATACCCTTTAATTTCTAATGCCTTCTCACTCTGAATTTGCACCAGTCTTGTGATTTGCTCTGGCCAGCAGGATGCAGAGGAAGTGATGGTGTCCCAGATCTGAGTTCAAGTCTTGGGGGTCCCGGTGAGCTTCTATTCTCTTTCTTATGGGATCCTGCCAATGCCTTGAGAAGGCCTGGGCTAGCCTACTACTGGAGAATGAAGGCCATAAGGAGGGACAGTGGGATGTTCTGACTGACAGCCAGCCAGCCATTGCACTGCTGCATATGCCTATAGAGGGCTCCTACCAGTCTGAGGTGGCATGAGGGAGCCCAGCCACGGCCTCAACTGCCCAACTGAGCTCAGCCCAAATCATCAACAGAATAAGGAGCTAAATAAATGGTGATTGTTGATAGCCACCAAGTCTGAGGGTGGTTAGACCACCAGCAGACTACTGCACAGGTAACCTCTGACAAGATCTAGGAAGATAAACTGAAAGAACAGCTGCGGTTCAAGTACTTGCTGTACCTGAGGTCTTCCTCATAAACTGTAAACGCTATATAATGAAGTGTTGCTTGGCATCCCTTCTACCACACAAATATTTGACACTGCAACCCACCTTGCAAGAAAGGATGTTCCCGAAGGTGGAAAAGGTATCATACAAAGCCTTGCTGTCAATGGAATCCTCCAAGTTCTTTATGAAGACGTTGCCCACACCCGACTTTCGAAGTCCTGGGTCTCGCTGAGACCACATGATTCGGATGGGTTGGCCTTTGATCACCTCAAAGTTCATTGTGTCCAGTGCTCGTTCCGCTGGACAGGAAGAAAAGGAGAGAAAGGAGCAAGTTAAGAGGATTTTCTGACCCTGAACCTCCAGGGTGCTTAATCAGACCCATTATCTGGTTCTCACTCGAGACACAAACCTGAAAGCTCAAGAGGGGTAAGCAGGGGAGATTAACATACATGGTAATTCTCCCTCCCATCTTCCATTACAACCTCGCTGGAGACTCATGAGCATGGATTCCTAACCCCAGATAGGCAAATCTAAGCTCATAACAGTGAACAGTCAGTGGTAGAGCCAGGTCTATTCTGGTCTCTTAAAGCACACTGAGTCAATGAGAATGTAAAGGATGGATTCATGAGAAGAGGTGGCAGCAGTTTGAGGAAATTAAAAGTGATAAAGTGATAAAAATCAGTTGAGATTCAACCCCAAGAAGTTTGGCTTTCAGGGAACTGAGTACTACCTCTCCAAGTCCATTTCCTTATCTGTAAAGTAAGTATGATGATTTTACATACCTTTCCATACCTGAAAAAGGATACAATACCATCTACCTCCCGGCAGTGGTCAAATTGAAAAGTAAGGCAAAGAAGACTTGCGTGGTAATTGGTAGTGTGTCTGGAAGCAGCAGCTTATGGTACCCTCCTGCCACTGCTACATCCTCTTCCCTCCTAGATACTACGCACAGAGCTGTCCTCTGTCTTGGGGACTCACTCTGCTAGTTTCAGTGGTACGGAGGGAGCTAGGGGAGCACAGTGGAGAAAGTCTCAGGAAGTCTGGGTTCTCCATCTCATCCTAATATGAGCACCCAGAGGAAAAGCTCCTCCTCTCGGCAGCTTGATTCTCCCATCAATGAACTGGGACCAAAAGGTCAGGTCTGTTCACTCATGGAGCCTACAAATGACTCAGAGAAAGACAGAAAGAGGCAGTGGGTAGAGCAGAGCACAGCAGAAAGCATCCTGGAATCCAACTCAGCCACAGCAAAACCCCCAACTCAGGGGAACCTCCCTCCCACTCACCTGCCTAGATTCAGAGTAAGCTGCATTATTTTGAACTTGGTTGGTGTGGGTGTTTTTTGGTCGTTCCTAAAGTGTTGCACTAGAATGTTAAAGCTACTACTTTTTTTAAGGTTATCACTTGAGAGTGCTTACCATGTACCAAATGTTATTCCATAAACACCAGCTTTCCATTCTTTATACTATTGGGGAATAAGACCTTAGCCCTAATTTATAGGCAAAATTGTGTCAAGGGTGGTCTTGGCCAAGCTCACAGCTGCTGACTGATTTCCAGCAAGACCTGGGGCTCTTACCCTTTATCCTCTACTCTCAACAGAAGTGTAGACATACCCTACTCAGCTGACAAACTAATTAAACCTATCAGCCCTGAGGGGCCTACAGGAAGCAAGTGGCTTCTCAGAGATGGGAAAGATGGGAGGCACCAGCTGTTGACCTCATGTCAGGCTGCCATGGAAGGTGGGAGTCCAAGGCCTTCCTACTCTCCAGCTGTGTTGTCTTGGACTCTTCCTCTCCAGGTGCCTGTTTGGTTTTTCTGTTTATTTTGATACAGGTTCTCCTTATACAGTCCAGGCTACCTCAAACTCATGATCCTCCTGCCTCAGTCTCTCAGTGCTGGGATTACAGGTGTGCCCCATCACGCTTAGCTCCTCCAGGTGCTCTGAATCTCACAACCACTTTTTTTTTTCCTTTTTCTTTTTTCTGTACCTGGGATCGAACTCAGGACTTTGCGCTTTCAAGGCAGGAGGCTGCACCAACTGAGCAGCCCTCACAACCACTCTTAAATGCATGAAAGGCTCTCATTTTTCTGAGATCAGACAAGCGACTGACTAATCTCAGAATGGTTGAACAACTTGCTCAACAGTCACACAGCTGCTGGGTCCCACCCCCTTTGACCTGACTTCAATATTCTTAGCAGTTTGCTCCCGGGCCTTAATCTCTCTCTGTTTCGCAAAACAGCAATACCAGTACAGGGCACCTCCTAGAACTCTCTGTGCCTCTGTTTCCCTCATTGCAAAATGAAATGAAGACAGCGTGGGCGGCCTGGAGGCCGTCTCCGGCCGACGCCCCGCCCACTCCACCTGCGCCCCCTGGGGCTCACCGTCTGCCGGCTGCTGAAAGTTGATGTAGGCATAACCCAGCGAGCGCCGAGTGGCCACGTCGCGACACACGCGGATGGACAGGATGGGGCCGACTGGAGAGAACGTCTCGTAGAGCATAGCCTCGGTCACGTCCGGATGCAGGTCGCCCACGTAGAGCGAGGAGAGGGGGTAGCCCTGACCGCCGGCTTGCATGGCGGGTGGCCGCGCGAGAGGTTCCAGTCGGCGGCACTGGACCGCCCCTTCCCTTTACCGCCCCAGGGCTCCTGCGCACCAATCGCCAGCGCCCGGCCCCTCCCAACCTGGGAGCCCCTGGGATTCTAAAGGCACAGGTGGGGGGCATCTCTGACCCCGCCCCGAAGGTAGAGCCCTGCGCGGGTTCTGGCTTGGGAAAGCCAGCTCCATAAACGCGGAGGGCAGATTTGCAGACTGGGTTCTAACCCCAGGTCATTCGTTGCCTCCTTGGACCCATTTTCCTTCTCTGTAAAGTGGGGAAGACTCTTCAAGGAGAATCCCAACCAGAATCCTCATTTCAACGTTTGTGTGGACTATTATCCAGTGGCCCAAAAGTTCCTCAAATAGCCTGACCCAGTTGCACCCTTCTGAACCGAGGATGGAAGGCTTTGGTAAGGGCTGAGCAGAACTGTAAGGCCTTCAAGGGCCACTCAATTCTTGACCCTAGCTGTTTTATTACCAAGGCCTCTTCCTTCCTCAGATGATTGCCTCCCACCTCGGTGATCTAAACCATTCTCCCTGCGTTCCAACAGGGGGTTATTTGTGACCCAGCTTTGAGAACAGTAGGGATTTAACAGCTGAGACTCAAGGATAGCCCTAAACTGAGAAACAAGATGGTCAACCTGAGCTTGCAGCCGCAATCCATGTGGTATAGGGCCATGTTATCAAAACCCAAATCCATTATAGACCAATACTTCACCTTGCTCCTTCCGTACTCTCCTGTTCTCTTCCGAAACAAAGCAGGTAGGTTCCCACAGACTTACTGTAGTGTGGTTTCCACAGGTGGGAGTAGCTCCCAAGGACGGAAGGGAGCACCAAAAGACTAGTCTTGGGCTAAAAACATCCATTTATCCTAGTTTTTTCCTCTCCTGGGAATGTAGGTATTTTTAGGAAGGGTGGGGATCTCCCATTAGGAAACAGTGCTGTAGGCTATCATAAACAGCAACAGGACCATCATTGGACAGGCACAATATTAACCTTAGAGACAACCAAGACTTAGAAGGCTTGGTTCTATCTCTAGCTTGGTTTTATCTCAGAGTGAAAAAAGAGAGAGAGAGTGGGGCTTGAAAGCAAATGCAAAGTAATCATCCATACTAAATCTTACAAGCCACAGAGAGCCTAACGCCTGGATGGTTTGCTGTGGAAGGTAGAAAGGCAGCAAGTAATGAATGGAAAGAGGATATTACAACAATTCCTTCCCCTTTGCCACCACACCTTGACTTCTGATTCCAAAGAATAAAAATAAGTGTGATCACAACAGTTAATCTGGTAGTGATAGAGATAAGGTTAACATCAATTCACAAACAACTAACTGATAAAATTTTTTATTTTGCTTTTCAATTTTTACACTTTTCCTGATTATTCCGTGTAAGGTGAAACTAGAACTGTTTAAAAGACATACACAAATCTAGTACATCAATAACCAGGGATTGTTCTTTTTTGCTATACTATTTCACAACCACGGGTGTGCTTGCTAGGCAATATAACCATCACAAAAGCAAACGGTAGGCAGAATACTGGTAAGGAAAAACAAAGCAAAGAGCTACCAGATATACAGACAGGTTTGGTTCCACATTCACTACTGCATTTTCAAGCGCCAAGTATTAACTGCACATTTTTGTTCAGCTAGAGAGGAGAGCGGGGGGGGTGTGCTTTTTTTTTTTGGTTTGTTTAAATCAGTGCATGAATTTTTCTTTTCTCATTTCAGCAGATGAACAAACAGATGGATGCTATAGCTAATGGAATGTTGAAGGTACAGAGGTGATACTGTGAGGCTGAAAGTTCTGGCTACTCTTGATTCTCTCCATGGCAGTGTCCATGCAACTTCCCTGCATTATAGGGTCTTGTTTGGATGTGGCGGATTACTGAGCTGGATGAGTGCACTTGGAAGATCTAATGACAGACACAAGTAGTACCGGGGCTGTTGCAATCATGGGTATTCAGAAAAAAAAATTTTTTTTGATTCAGATCGTGGTGTGACTGAAGAGCAAGCATGCTGAGGACTGAAGGAAGACAGGGCCGGAAGCTCTTCTCAACAACTCTTTGAAGCAAGGCCTGCTCACCAACATCTCTTACCCTGTCCATACAGTGCAAAAAGTGAACAAAAGACAAAGACAAAATTCCAAAAGAAAAAAATCTAAGGAAGCAAAACATAAAGAAGAAAAACAAAACCAAAGTCAACAGCCAAAAGGACAAGGGAAAGCATGTTTCAATTTCAAAATTTAAATGCCCAAGCTAGGACAAACCCAAAGAGTACTCAAGTGAGAGGTGATCTCTACAGAGCATTATTCTTAAAGGTGTTATCAAGCAAACACACAGGGTGGCTTCCCCCCACCTCCGTTTAGCTAAGTGATAACAAGGAAAAAAGATCCCACTGTTTTCACAAGTTGCAAATCAGTAACATTGCTATAGGAAAGGGAGTTTAATAACACATATTATAGATGCACTGGACCTTTTCATGGTGTCATAACCCAGTTTATCTGCCACAAAGAATTTCAATTTCAGGCTTTGAGTTTCCTCAGAGGAAGATAGGGTAGACGTTTGTGGTCATGAACTTTAGTGGCAACAACCCAAACTAGTAAGTGTGTCTATAAGCCCTGAATCACAGGCAGAATTACTGTGAATTACCATTAATCTTAGATGCCAAGTGATAAGTGCCTCACTCCAAGTCCCAGCATCACAATATAATCTATAACTTTCTGTACAACTTTACAACAGAATTGTTATTTTAGAGACTATTTTGATATCAGATTAAACTTTCCAAATAGTTACACATAATTCAGGTCTATTTTTCTACCAGTAAGATTTCTGCTAAGTTACAAAACCCCATAATCACAGTGTTCAGTTTTTAAAAATTAAACACAGTAATCCTGTCAATGATAATCAAAATCAAAACTTCAAAATGCTGTGGCATTTGTGTGACCAATCTGAGTTTTAGACTGATACCCCTTGTTTATCCCATGGACCATTTTTGCTAGACTGAGGCTGTGAAAAATCGAAGTCATACAAGTATTTTTTTCTTTTTCTTTTTATCGCACAAAGGGATACATGTGGAGTAACACTGAATAGATCACAAAGCACAACAGACATTAGTTTTCTCCCTCCCCAGCATCTCCTTCATCGCCCTGGTTTTCCGACGTCCACAACTGCAAGAGAAAAGAAAAAAAAGCTATAATCAAAGGAGACACTAAATCTTACTCAGGGTGGTATCTTATCACACTCAAACATTTAAAAGTCCTCCTGTACTACTGCAGTGTTGACTGCCAAGGTCAAAATATCAGCAATCATTTATAACTCATTTAACACTTTAGACTTTTAGCCGTAACTTACATATACAAATTCTTCTTGACTCTTGGACAACAGTAACTATTAAGCAGATAAATAGGAAAGAGACTATAAACTCTCCAGAAGTCATACTTACAGTGAGATTGTCCCTAAGTAACTGCATGATCAGTGTGCTGTCTTTGTAAGACTCTTCATTCAGTGTATCCAATTCAGCAATGGCTTCATCAAATGCCTAAAACAAACAGCCTTTAGCAAGAAATCGACAAGTTCTTTGAAGTGAGTTTAGGCCAACTTTTTTTCTGCTTACAAATGATTATTACTTCTCTTCTTCTACAGTACTTTGGAAGAACCTAGACTCCTATTACTTACTCTGCTAGTTCTTTCAACAAGTATATAATGCATGTTTATAAAGCTCAAACCAAGATGACAAAAACTCCTGGATTATAACTTTGTTTTATCTAATAAGTAAGCAGTATTACTATTAACCATAGCACACTTACTTTAGGTAAATTCATGTAATTTCTTTTTCCTTTTCTTTGTCTTGCCAGGTAGGGGATTGCATTCAAGGGCCTTTGCACTGAGCTACATTCACAGCCATTTTATTTTTTATTTTGAGACAGTATCACACTAAGTTGCTAAATATCCAGGCTGGGATCAAACTTGCAATCAAACCCTCCTGCCTCGGCCGCCCAAAGTGTTGGGATCATAGGCGTGCAGCACCATGCCCAATTGCAATTTCCTGAATATCAAAGACATTTCTAGTAATCTCTTTAAAAAAAGAAACTCAAGCATTCTAGATACAAAGGGCAAAAGGAGAGTGAAGCTCTTCACTAATCCTAATTTGATTAAGTGATCCCACTTTGACAATTCATTTCAGGCATCTTCCCCAAATTTAAAAAATTAAAAGTAAGTAGCGGTACACAGGTTGAAAGACAACAAACGTAGCACACCAAGAAAATATGGTCTAATTTCTTTTGTGTACACAGACATAACATCATCTTAGTACAAATAAGCATGGCAATATATGGGGGCCCAAAATTTGATGAGAAACAATAAACTAACCTCACCCAGAATTCTCTACAAACAACCCTCAAAAAACAGTAATCAAATCAAAGCAGGTGTTGAGCAGGAATCACAAAATAACAGGTCTGTATTTCTTTCATAAGATATCCCTCCTCTAGAAAATTTTTTTTTTAAGTCTAAGATAATGAAGATATTCAAGAATAAAAGATTGTATTAGAAAGCCCCGCACTGTTTTCTATGTAAAGAAACCACCAAGGGTCCTTCTCACCGTTTTTGCCAGGCTGCAAGCCTTTTCAGGAGAATTCAGAATCTCATAGTAAAAGACTGAGAAATTAAGTGCCAGGCCAAGTCGAATTGGGTGTGTAGGCTGCATTTCTTTCTTGCTAATTTCAAATGCTTCCTGATAAGCCTGCTGGGAGTTCGACACAGTGGCTGTAAGAAAAATTTTGTAAAAATTAAAGGTTGCATCACACCCATTAGATTCATTATCAAATTATTTTAACAAAATAGGCCGTAGTAGATAAGCAATTAAAATGAGTCAGTGCTTCCACCATTCAATTAAACACCTGTTAAATGTTAACTGTAAGTGAAGTACTATATTAAATGCTTTGGGAGAAACAAAGAAAATTACTACAAAGTCTAAAAGAGCAGCTAAAAGTCTAAAAGAGAGAAAGCAAAAGCACTATGCTCCAGTAGAAAGAACACAGGCTTTACAGTCAGCAGACCCAAACCTGAATTCCCAACTTTTACTCACTAGGTATATAGCTTTGTAGCTTGGAGCAAGTAAAAACCTTTATTCACAAGTCATGCCTTCCTTTAGTAGAAAAACAGGCAGACTTCCATGTATCATGAAGTTGTATGAGGATACATAGGACTCCAAAGTATGTGACACACAGCAGGCACTTAATGAAGGCTGTAATTATCACCCTCACAGTAATTCACGTGATAAAGAAATGCAGCACTACCAGCACTACAGTGGTTTCAAACCATCAAATACAACCTCTCTTATCTGTGCCGTACGTGTTCCAAAACACCAGTGGATGCTTGAAACTGGATGGTACAGAAGCCTGCCTAACTTTTTCTATACACACATACCTATGATAAGTTTATGAACTAGGCACAGTAGATTAAAGATAGTTAATTATAATATAGAACAATTATAAGAAAACACTGCAATAGAAATTTGCACTTTGGAGTAAGTAAAATAAGGGCTATCTGAACACAAGTACTATGTCATGATGATAATTCATCTGATAAGCAAGATGGCAACTAAGTGACATGCAGGTAGCATATATAAGGTAGATATGCTGGAAAAAAGATGATTCATCTCCTGAGGAGGATGGAGTGATATGTCATCCCATTACTGAGAACGATGTGTAATTTTAAATTTATGAATTATTTATTTCTGGAATTGTTCATTTAATACTTTCACACCATAACTGAGCTTGAATAACTAAAACCGGGAAAAACAAAACCATGGTCAAGGGTAGGCTACTTCTTGTTAAAGTTTTGCCTCTAAAAAGAGAACTACCGACCAATCTCCAAATGCATTACAATCAGATTCTTAATGCCCTCCATCTTTGCCTTTAGATACATCTTGATTTGTCAACACCCATGACCTCATCCATCACAATTCTATGGCCTTTTAAATTCTGATTACTATGATGTTCAGGTCCATGGTGAACAGACACAGCAAAACTTTAAGGTCATTATGAAAGAAGCTTGGCTTTACCACTGGCTAAAAACTTTTAAATGTGAAGCCTGGAGTGGGGGCGCACACCTGTAACCCCAGCACTCAGGAGACTGAGGCAGGAGGATCTCTGTGAGTTCGAGACCAGCCTGGGCTGCATGGTGAGTTCCAGGTCAGTCTCAACTACATAGTGAGACCTTGTCTCAAAAAATACAAAAACAAACAAACAAACAAACAAACAAACAACAAAACTTTTAAATGGTACTTACTTTGTTTATTATCTCCAGATGCAACCTCAGAAAGATACCTAAAATAATCTCCTTTCATTTTCAAGTAGAACACCTTACTTTCAGGTTGGGTAGCATTGAGAATAAGGTATTTGTCCAACAGCTCCTAAAAAATGATTCACATTGTTAAGTATTTTGAATTACTTACAAGATGTTAAAATTATGTTTGAGATTTAAGATACTACTACCACTACCAATTTCCTTTGAAGATTTTTTTAAAAGGCAAAGCATTTTTCATCCAAGTCACTAAATGTTGTTCTGGTTCTAGGTCCTAAGAGCAGATGCCTATATTCTTCTGTAAAAGTCATTTTGAACATCCATAAGGGATTAACTGAAATATAGCTACTACAGTGCAATGCTAGGAAAAAACGATGATGCAGAACTACACTGGTTACATGGAAAAGCTCTCAAAAGAAATTGTGAAAATCCAGATCTAACCCACAAGAATCCTATTTTAATACTAAAATACCTATGTGCATGAACACAAATACATAAAGGGAAAGCCTGGAAGGATCATACTAATAATGGTTTTCTGGATGATAGGATTACTTTCTACTCTTTTGCCCTGTCTTTTAAAAAAGAAAAAAAAAATTCTATCTATCTATCTATCTATCTATCTCTTTTGTGATTAGAGGAAAAAATTTCGTTCTAGTCTGGGAAGATAAATGTAACAGAACAAAACCACATGAATTAAGTCTAGAATCAATCTGGCCTGGGAAGAAACCCCTCTTCTGCTGCTTACTATCTGCATCCACATGACCCTACTTTTATCACCAAGTCACAGTCTCCTTGGTTGTACAATGGGGAGGCCACAATGGCCTCCTTCTAGAGTAGTTATAAGGACAAGTAAACTAATGTACATAAAGTGCTTAACACGTTGCCTGGCACGTAGTAAGCACTCAAAGAATCTAGTACTATTATTAATAATAAATTCCTTTAAACATTATGCTTACAACAAAAGTAGTTCTGAAGGAGTCCAAGCTTCGTATACAGAGCAATATTTTCGAAGAGTTGTTTTAGAATGTGGCATCCTGAAAAACTGGTTAAGAGGCAGTAAGTACCATGCTCTTCTTCACATTCTTTCAGATGCTCTTAAAAGCTGGTCTACATTTCAGGAATTATGGAACTTTCTCGCCCTTGGAATGCATGCCATACTTCATTTGAATACCAGATGTACCTAACATTCAGGAATTAGTGCACCATTAACAAACCCCCAAAAGACCAACAGGCAACAAGTTTAGCCATGACACTCTTATCTTACACCATGAGTCCATTAAAAAGAAGCTCAATCCAAAGCTAACTATATGGGGATTTAACCAATCAGTGAGGGGATGCAAAGGGCAGTAGTCATTTTAATATTCTTTGCAGACAGACAAGGTGTAACTTATTATGGGTTAGGGGAGAGGAGTACTGCCTCATGGCTGACAAGCTTTGTACTGGTTTTCAAAAGAAAGCTGTCATGGGCAGTAATTCGGAGAGGCAGCCAGCAGGGGAGGAGGTGAATCAACAAGTGTAACTTCCTTTTCCCTTCAAAGCAGCCCTCATCATTCATTTTAACCTGATTTCACCTGGAAGAAAAAAAAGTTCCCAGTGGGCTCAGGATGTGAGGGAAAGACATTATGACCATGATTTGTTCTAGAATATATACCCTTCCCATTCAACCCCAAACTATGGCCAGAGGAAATCAACCATTTGACTAGAACTTATATTAAATAGTAGAGAAGAATCCCCAAACCACCTTTGATTTGGCTTTGGAAATGCATGCTGAACTTGGTGGATGCGCCTAATTTTCAGAAAAAAACAGGACTCTACCATGTGAAGACATGATGAGAGAGAGGCTAAAAGGCAGCTCAGTGTTTTGATCCTGTCTCCTCTTCTGGAGATGATGTCACCACTCGGACCAACAAACAGAATAGCCTATCTGGGGCTGCATCTATCTAAAATCCTGTCTATTTGGCCTGTTTCTGAAGAAGAGAAGGAGGGATGCTAAATGTTCCTGTTTTTCACAGGTCTTCTTGACAGGTGAGGAAAAAACCCTAGAAGTGATGACAATCTCCAATCAAGCAAAAGATGAGGAAAAAAAAAAAATCACATCATACACATAAAAACAAGTGCAAATGGTTTGCAGCTTCCCAGTTTATTTAGAAACCTCTCTCATAAGCTGCTTGAGAGTCTACAGTCAGACATTAAATTAACACTATTTAGAAAATCGTTTAAAGCAGAAGCACTGCCCCTTACCAGAACGTCATTGCAGATGTCCTGCAGCTCTGCCTCTATCTTCTCCCGATATTCTTTGCCCATCTGCTGTTTCTTCTCATTCCTCTCTGTTTTCTGTTCAATGCTGGAGATGACACGCCAGGAAGAACGACGGGCACCTACTACATTCTTGTAGGCGACAGAGAGCAGATTCCTCTCTTCATTGGAGAGTTCATGCCCCTGCTCGGTGACCGCCTTCATGGCCGCCGCCATATCATCATAGCGCTCAGCCTGCTCAGCGAGTTTGGCTTTCTGTACCAGCTCACTTTTGTCCATGGTCATTCCCTACAACAAGACCAAGAGAAGTAAATATCAGATTTCAGGGGTCAGGAAATGCATTGTGAATCTTCTTCCAAGCCATCTGGATAGAAGCTTCCCTGAAAGCCCAACACCTAGTCCCAAATGCCATCAACAACAGTGATTATGTACCGAGTACCTACAGGGTCAGTTACTTCATCAAGGCCTTCAAATTATTATGGTCAGTTAATTTCCCCAGGAGTTGTACAGGATAGTGATATTCAAAACAACCTCTCCCCCATTTTTATAGGTAAAGAAATAAAGGTTCAAGGAAGGTACCACTGAAGTAGAAAAGGGTAGAGAGCCTGGAATTAAGTCATCTATTTGTTCCTAGAGCTCTAATTTTCCCCTATCCTCTGTACGTCCCTCCATACATGGATACTGCTTAATAAAAATTTCTGTAGAGGTTTATGCTAAATATGTTCTTTAAATGCTTTCAACAAGTATCTGCTTTTTAAAATGACACTGCTCAACTCTCTCCTAAAATACAGAAAGCCCTCTCTCACTGCCCTAATTATTTGGTTTTGATAAAAATCTTTTCTCCCACAGTAGAGGGAAAATAAGCACCGAACTTCAATCAAACTTAAAGCAAAAGCTATGGGAGCCACCATTATGCTATCTATCTTCTGTAATACACAACTTTGTTCCAAAGGCATACTGCAAAGACTAGCATAAACCAAGGGAAGCTGACTTGAGCTCCATCTAGCACCAGCTCTGCTATTCAGTAGTGATATGATCTTGTTTAAATCCTTTAACCTGGGCCCTTCAGTTTCCTTACCAGCTCTGGGGCTCTTGTGAGAACAAATAACCAAATACACAGGATATATAGCCATGAAACTTCAAACCATAACTGAATTCCTTTGAATCACAACTGAGTTCATTCAAAAGATTCCATGGGGGGGGGGGACCGCAAAGACTTCAGTTTATAATTTTATCTAACCCTTTATACATACCAGATAGTGAATACTTATTCTCCTCACCTTAGTCATGTTCTCACTATAATAAGCCATTATAGAGTGCAGTAATTTTTGGATAATATACTTATGAACCATAAACATTTATATATTGTTGGCTTAAATTTCTATATAACCATTTGGGCCACAGAATAAAAACATGCTAATATGCTCAGTTTTAAAAAAAAATGAAGTACTACTTTGAACACTCATAGGAATATCAGTATTTCTTAAATAAATTATTTCATTACTATATACATGTTTAAGATTCTAAAAAAGATTAACAGTTTAAAAATAGAAAGTGTAGGGCCAGGGATTTAGCTCAGTGGCACCACACCTGCCTTGCAAGCACAAGGTCCTGAGTTCAAACTCCAGGAACCCGCACCCCTCACCAAAAAAACAGAAAGTGTAACCTTTACTTCTAAAATAATTTTGTCCAGAAGTCATTTTTGTATTCCCAAGAAAAATTCTCAACAAAGAAACCTATCACATGAAAGAGGTTTATTAGATGAAGTACAATGAATGACACAACAAACTAAAAATACAGGCAATTCAGAATTGATTCTCCAATTCAGAACTGATTTTTTTCCTGTGCCTTATTATCTAAGTCATACTCAGAGCTGTGTTCTATATAAGTCTAATTGTAAGCTTACACTCAGTAAAGCAAGTCTCATCTTGAGCCATCTGACATCTTCACTCACAACACTAGAATAAAACTATGGAAAAGACAGTTACTTTCATAAAATATTCCATTTGCTTCCTTACATTTCCCAGCATCCACTCCCTAGCAATTAGAAGTTAGATAGTAGTTGTGTCCCGTAATGAGCAGAAACGATGTTGTTTCCAGACTGAAACTGTGAAAATCCTACGTATAGTTCCCCAGCTCTCTTCTCTTACAGCAGCCACAAAACAGTGGACTTTGTCCCAACTGAGTCCCTGGGTACCTGTACAGTGCAGTTTCCTGCAGTCCTAGTAGTCATGCAGTTTTAAAAAGAAACTTTTGTTGGGTTAAGCCACTGAAATACTGGAGCTGTTACCACAACATAAACTCATCTACTTTATATAATAATACTATTTATCATCTTACAATTATATATTTAATATGTCTAACTTTCTTCATCATTAAAGTCTTTGGGATCAGGGCTATATCTCTATTTATTAAATAATCCTACTTCATTGTTCCTAAAGTGTCAAGCACAGCATAGGTAAACCAACTTTCAGATTCAATGAGTTTAAGAAAATGTCTAATCTGTAGACAAATTTAAAGAGTTCACTTCAAGGTCACCTTCAAAGTTCACTAAAAGCACCTGTGCCACTCTACCTATAAACAATTTCAAATAATGAAGTTCTGGCCAAAAGCCAACATAGGGGCAAGCCATTCTACTTAGTATTTTAATAGAGCAATAGAGAAGTACAAAGGATTGACATTGCTAAAGGTGTCACAAAATTCTTCAATTCTAGGAGGCTCCCAAACTAGGCTCCCTCAACCTTCTCAAGAATTTAAAAGTTAACTCATACTTGGAAAAATCCTGACTACTCCTTGGGACCTCCCAAATGTCCTCATCCTATTTGCCAAAAGTAAAATGTGGCCTTTCTGATTTGGGGCCAACTATTTCAAGTATCTTTTGAATCATCACAAGAGTTGTTGGAGAGAGAAAACCACCACAAGTCTACAGTGCACACCTTTAAAATAATCTGCATTCACCTGTTTCAAAAATTTTAATTGCACACACACAGAAACAACTTAAACAAAATCCATAGCTAAATGCCCTAATGCCTAGCACTTACATAACCTTCAACTTATATAACACAGATTTTGAAGCCTCTAGACTAATTTCAACAGGAAATGGATTACACAACAACCAGCATTTTGGAGGAAGGCAAAAGACAAGGGAGAAATGAAACTTTCTTTTTCTATATATACAATCAAGGTCCCATCCATAATCTCTATTCTCATTGCTTTCAGTTTCTCATTTTCTTTAGCTCCCTCCATCTTTGCTATCAGACCCATCTCCTTAAAGTCCTAATCACATCACTTTTTGCTCAAAATGTTTATAGTTCCTTGCTCCATATATAGTCAGATTTCCGGTCAGTGAAAGCTTGCCAAAAGATTTCCCACAACATGACTCTGCACAATATGCTTCTGCCAAAGTAGTCCTCCATACTAAGTGTGCTTTTCTGCCCTGACTACCAAGCCAATCCCTCTACCTAGAATGGCTTTTCTCATTTATTCTCAATACAAAGTTCTTCACAGCATAATTCAAATGCCATCCTTTCCATGAAATCTTTCTTAAAGTTGAGTTGTATAATTCAAAACCACAAGCCAATTTGGTTGTTCGTTTGAAATGTGACTAGTACCACCTGTTGAAATCATATTTTGGTTACAAAGGGTTAAGTAAAAAGATATTTTATTTGTATTTTGTTTGCAGTGCTGGGGAGCAAACCCAAGGCCTTGCACATGCTGGGCAAGAGGTCTACCACTGTGCCACACTCCCAGACCACTTTTACTTAAAAAAAAAAAAAAAAAAA